ATTATGCGGTGACCTCAATTCAGTTTAATTCGATGAACGAGAGAGAGTTCATTAGCGGCTCTAGGAAAATTTTGCATGTTGCAAATGTAGTTGTTGGCTCCATGATGTGTGATTGCCGCTTTTATTATGCATAAGGTGCATTAGAATTGTTCTTGCTTTTTGAAGTACTTCTTTTTCCATCGTCTTGATAGAAAATTATAGATTTCATGCTATTATATATTTAAAAATACATATATTATCATTAGACTATTGTTTGTTTGTTAATTGTGATTGAACTATTATAGTAGATTTTATTGTTTATGGAAAAAATTTTATTGTTTTTTATTTATGAAAGGGCGGGAGCAAGTCTTATTGAGTGTCTACTGCGCTGAGTCTTTCACATTTGAGAATATATATAATTGATCTATCCATCATCCAATACTTTTTTCATATTTGTAAATGAGTAGCAGTTTTACTATGTTTTATAGGAACCGAAGCAATCAAAACATTTAGTAAAGGTGTGAATGCAATTATTTTTGGTGTCATTTGTTTCTAATCATGGTTTATCTATAGGATATATAACCGATATCAAAGTATTCCAAAAGTAACTAGTTATATAAAAAGCATTCATTTAAAATGATTTTTCCATTAAAAATCAAACTTCTTATTTATTTTAAAATACATTAATTTTTTATGACACAGACTTCAGTCGGCTTCCCGAGACTATCTAATTTCTGTTTTACTTGACTTCCACTAAGCTGCAGCTTACTTTTTCAGTTACTACGACTACGCGGTAGCTTCGTCTTGTCTCTCATTTATTCACCGTTATTTTGTGCCATGGAGGTGGCGGGGTGGTTTGTTGGTCCAATCATGAAAGAAGATCATCGAAGCTTGCTCTGATTACCTGAAAGATCAATTAAGATGGCAGACAGGCATGAAGGAGGAGCTTGAAAGGCTGCGAGAGAACCACCCCAAAATCCAAGCTGTCTTCGACTTTGCTGCTAACCAAGCACAAATCAGCGACGCAGCTCTCAACAAATGGATATGGCAGCTGCGAGATGCTATTGATGAGGCAGATGATGTGTTGGAGTACATCAAGCATTTCGACGAATGGACATGGCAGCCGCAATATGCTATGGATGCGGCAGGTGATGTGATCGATGAGTTGGAGTACACGACGCCTAAAGAACATCTCGAACGTGATCTCCAAAGGGATCTCAACTTGAAGAGGCTGGAGGAAGCTGTGCAGAAACTTGGTAAAGTTTCGGCTCATGTTACTACTTTCCTTCATCTCTTAGATAGCGCAAAGGAGGAACAGGAGCAGGAGGTTGATTTCTACAAAACACGTGGAACAGGATATTTGCCTAAAAATGATCTCATTGGTCGAGGCAAGGAGAAGGAGCTTGTTATGCAGTGGTTGAGGAAGCCATCAAATGATCCTGGGACAACTAGGTACAGAAACATTTCTCTTCTATCTATAGTGGGCCATGGTGGTATGGGGACGACAGCTCTCGTGCAACATGTTTATAAAGATGAAATTACAGAGGAATTTGATCTTAAAAGTGGGTTTGTGTTTCCAACAACTTTGATGTGAAAAAAGTCATTAAAGATATGTTGGAATCTCTTAAGAAGGAGAGGCCTCGTTTGGACACACTTGATGCACTTCAAAATCGTCTTCGGACTGAGATTATGTCCAAAAAGTTCTTACTTATTCTGGATTACATTTGAGAGGAGGAGGAGAACAGGCATATCAGCAAATGGGAGAAGTTGCTCGCCCCTCTGGCTTATGGGAAAATGGATAGTAGGATTTTGGTAACAAGTCGAATGGACTCTGTTGCTTTG